GTGGGTTCGCTTCCTAATGGGGCCGTCGACGATTTTGCGCGGCCGAGGGTGCGCCCTCGATAAATCAAACAGACTCTGGCCGTGGGAAGCATAAGTCAGAGGCCTCCGGCAATCATTGTATTTGCAAACATCGGAAGTTTACTCGCTACGGGAGAACCACCGACTCGACGGTACGAAAGAATCGGTACGAACGTCTCGTTTCCATTGAAAAAAAAAAAAAAAAGAAAAGAAAAGAAAATGGAATCGGACGGTGTCCGGGAAATTTTCGATGTTCTTCGACGACGATCGAACTCGTAAACGATTTCGTTTCGTCTCGATTTTTCTTGTTATAATAATAACGATAACAGCGCGAATTTTCGTCTCTTCGTGTCGGTGGACATATACGACCAAGGTGGAAAGAAAATACGCGGGTGAGCATTATTTTTTTTTTTTCTTTCTTTCTTTCTTTTTTTTTTTTTTTTTTTTTTTTTTCGATGTTACACTAATATACCGGGTGCAACAACATCCGGTATATTACGATATATATCTGGAATAAAAGTTTATCTGGTAAATCCAAACCCGTCGACCGGTCTGTTTATCCCGAACGGGGCTCTCCCTTTGATTGTTTGCATTCGTATTACGCGTGCAAACGGGCCGGTTAGTTCTCGCTCCGTGTCGAGCAATTGATGATGAAAATTAACGGGTAAAGGATAAATTTGGCATAGGGTAGACGCGAGACGAGGTATCACGTTACAATTTCGATAACGCGGTCGACGGATGCGGATTATTAAAAGGAATTTTATCAATTTCGTTCAATTGAATCGGATAAAGATCGGATTAATCGCGCGTAAAATTTTCCTTATAGAAAATTTGATACACGCGCGAGGATAGAGAAGAACACGTGCACGCGTCGTGTATAGATAAGCATATAGACATTATCCGTCATTCCCTCTGGCCGTTTGCTCCTCTATTCTATATCGAAATATTTGCCAGATCTCCGTACACGCGCCAGATTCGAGAGAAATTTTCTTAAGAATCTCGTGAGAACGTTAACGAATCGATTTCTTCGATGGAGAGGAAGTTTTTCTTTTTCTTTTTTTTTTTTTTTTTTGCGCGCGCGCGATATTAAAGCGGCTTTGATAAACGGCAGTCGAGAGAGAAAGAGAGAGAGATGCTAATCAGCCAAAGGTTCGAGAAAGAAGAAGAAAAAAAGAGATTTAATATAAAGTGCTTCCTCGTGTAATGCGATATCGATAATCGTCGGCAGTCTTCTGTTGATACTTTCTTGCCACTTTAGAAACACCGGCCCCGGGCGATTTATTGGCTTTTTTTAATATTGCCCGTCGATATTGCTTCGGGAAAAAAAAAAAAGAAATCTCATTGTCAAACGAGAGGAGAGAAAAACCGATACAATTTTTAATAATACTTAATAGACAAGAAGGATCTCGGGATTTAAGGGTGAACACGCGAGTCGCGAGAACGCGAATTCGTAGTTTCCTATTTGGCCAGGTTCTTTCCGTATTAACGATTAAATTGCATATGCGATACATTTCCGTGCAGCTTCCGTTTCTGTTGAGATTGACTTCCTTCGACGTTCGTGTCTCATTACTTGACGCGATCGAAACGTAGTAATAAGATAAATCGTAAGGGAAATCGTCGCGTCTTGCTTCGAAAATCGATCGATAATCGTAGAAAAAATGATATCTCCATTACACTAACTTGACATACGATGGAACTCCGGCACGTACTGCTCGCTGTCTTCCGTTTCGCAGCTGCTACCTACAACGAAATTCGTAAAATTATTTCGAATATTTCGTGGTTTATGGAGAGAAAATGAAAAATGGGGAGAAAAATAAATAAATAGAATGAAATGATAATAATAACGATAAATAAATAATAAGAAACGAAAGATTATCGCGAGGTGTTAAGTTGATGATTCGTTTGGGATGGGCCATTGGATAGTTGGCCGTTCCATTGGCAGAACGTCCCCTCGTTATCGCGATTATTACATTGCATCCATCGTGCATTACATTACAGTTCGTCAAAATAATCAAAATTAATGTTCCGGACAGTGAGGCCACTGTTTCTAATCACCTTCGAGGAAGATTTACGTTATGCGGCTTGAAATGGAGCCTCGTTCCCTCGTTTGTTTTATAAGGAATAATACGAGTCTATAAGAATTTTACCGTGGCGCTTCTAGTTTGCAGAAACTCTGTACTGTTTCACTGAAAGGGAAGCGGAACGGAAGTCGGGTGTTTTAAAGCATTATACCGAGCTTTGCTTTTATAATTCAGTCGAGTTAATGGAAACTACGATAACGATTTTATTGCGAACCAGGAAATATATATTAATTTTGATATTTTTTCTTTTTTTTTTTATTTTACGATTCCGGATAATATTGATTTGTAAAATTTGAAAAGAAAAAGTAA